TCCCTCGCGCAACTGTTTTCGGCCACGGGCCGCGGCTTCTGTTTACTTGTCATACGGTACGATACGATACGTGAGAGATTCGTACTTCTTAGCGTACAAACGAATCGGCGCGGCGTGCGGGTGCAGGGTCTATCGTGTGGCAGGGAGGGATACTCCGAATAGATTCTTTAGATACGTTGCAGTATAGAATCCACTGCAGTTAGAGACAGGCCCTGATATACGAGCGACATCCCTCTAGAATCTTCTAAAATTAGAAGATTGTAGAGAAATGTCGCTGGTATACTTCTCGCTCCCACGTCTGCATACAAATTAACCATTTAGAAGGGATCGTGATACGAATATTACGTACTGTAATAAAATTACCTTGTTGCAAACCTTTTTCTTTATAGTTTTCTTTATTCCTCTGTCATTATCACTTTTATAGATATTTAAAGAAAGAACAAAGGAAAGAATATTTACTGATCTCACTTAATTTACAGTATTAAAATATAGTACTAATGGTCCGCCCAATCTTCATTCGGGGGCTTATAACTTTATGAGTTTCGTATAGTCATTTTGGATTAATCAATGTATTAAACAGTGAAAAAAAATTAAAATAACAATGCATAAAAGATTAGACTACGGTCGTCAAAGTATTATGAGACGTCGGTGAAGCTGTTGGTATTATATTTTATTATTATTTCATATGTATGTCAACCTATACTATTAGTATTACCTGTGGCATTACACCGGAATACTTAGATATTACAGTCTAAGCTTCAACCGAATTCACATAACTTTGTGATTGTTGTTTATTTAGTCTCTCTTTAACCAATTCTCTAAAACCGCTATCCAAATAAAATATAATCTCATTATTTTGCGACATTACAAGAACAATGGAAACAGTATTTGTAACAATAGGGTTTCCTCTTCCTCCTTGCTAAAGTTCGTAGGCTCCTCAAATTATGTTAACATTATGGTTTCAGATTTTTTTCAATCCGTCCACTTAGCATATCTGATTTAATAATAGACGACAAAAAGTATGCGTCTATTGTGTTTATTTACTGGCGAGTTAGTGAAGTTTTGAAATAAATATGCATAGGTACTACTTATTGTAATCACAGTATAAAAAAGCTACTCGTAGAATTGTATAATATGTGTATATAAGCTATTGGTAACAATATACAAAATTTTATACTGTGATTACAATAACTAGTATCTATGCATATTTATTTCAAAACTTTCTTCTATTTTTTGTTCTTCTCGGCTCTCAAAAACCTTTTTTATTTTTTACTAGATGTAAGTCATCTAGTTAGGAGCTCTAACTCCGTATTATCATCACCTTAAATAGTTGTTTAGTTTTTCTGTAATTCTTCATGCATTTGTCTATTCCATTCTGCTCCGTTCTGTTATATTAGTCTGTGAAATTTAAATTTTTAGCTATATGGGAAAAAGAAAATACAAATTTCACCAATTTGTCTGGGAAATTTTCAAGGATCACAAGGATCCTTTAACTTCAAGAAACATTAAACAAAATAGCTGCTCCTGTTTCGCCGTTTTTAGCAAAGTATTTAGCGATTCATGTTTTTATGTATTAAAATTTTAAATAACTCCTAATTTTAAAGTCTTATAGTCAAGTTTAGTGCGTATTTTTGAAATAGGATTCTCATAAAAATTCTTATTATTGTATATATAATCGAAGAACAAAATAATTACATGTGACGCATTATGCGTTATTTATAAGTTAATTAGAATTAAATAAGTAGTTATTATTGCTGCTATTAGCTATAATTTGTAACCAAAAAAAAAAACAGAAAATTGTCTTATTAGTGAATACTTGACGAGATTAATTGATTACACTTCCATTAAAGGATATAATTATAGATGGTTTTTATACTGTTAATTGATTTATAACAGTGTTTTTTGTTTAGCGACATTTTAATCTAATAGTATTTTTTGTGTATATTTTATTTGTTGATAAGTTAATAATACAAATATATTATTTAAATAAAATTTATACCTACATATAGATAGATACTTAGATACTTATAAGGTAAATGCTAGCGCTCGATAATTAATGTAGATAATCGTTTAATTTTTCAATAAGTATTTTCTCCCGTTCTTACATGTAAATGGTTCTAAAGAAAGAACAAACTACACTCGCGAGCAACCAAATCGACTCAAGCGCTACGCCTACATCAAACATTGTTCTAAATAAAAGTGTACAACATTTAAATAAAAATAATATGTCATATGACATACTATTATGCAACTGATAAGGGTTAAAGGGCCACGGGGATTTTTATAGGGGTACAGGGTAGCGCAACTCGCAGGTAGCGTAGTGAGTAATTTGTCCCATACGCCCTAATTGTGCAAATTAACATGTTGGTACTTGTTTTATTTAATGGTGTTGATGTTTTTTTAAAGCTTAGGTTTCAAGCTGTCAAGTGACATATAATTTTTATTTAAATGTTATATACTTTATTTAGAAACAATGTTTGAATATAGAGGTAGCGTTTGAGTCGATTTGGTTGCTCGCGAGTAAAAATATCCGACATTTTTATGTAGAGAGAATAATAATGTACATTGAGTTAGTCATAGAACGGAGACCCCTCTTCAGATCGAACCCCCGTCTAATATTTAACTGGAATCTCGAATCTCGGGGATGGAAATTATAACGGCCGAATCGAAGTTCGAACCACTAGCGGTGCCCTCAGGCTAAAGTCGTATACGTGAGGCAGAAGTTGGAATTCAGTCCACATCATACATAAGTTCCACCCTAAGACTGGAGACCTAAACTGTTCAGTTATATTCCGTGGTACATAAAATGGTACCTATATTATATCATAGTACAGTCTATATTTGTAACACTAAGTAGATTTTCCAAAACCTCCTGTCTCACCAATTTCAGTCGCGAAACAGGTTCCTTTGTACGTTGAAGAGTCGAGATAAAGCAGTAAAGAATAGAATAGAATAGAAAATCATTTATTCAAATAAACTTACATTGAAGCACTTTTGAATAGTCATTACGTTTTTTTTAATCTACCGCTCGTTCGGAAAGCTGTCTCATCACAAGAAGAACGAGCAAGAAACTTGCGTGTTGCTCTTTTAAATAATTTTATTATTACTTTACATTTTTAAGTTTAAGTGTGTGAATACAAACCACCAATTAGCACTAATTCAATTAAATACTCAAAAAGAAAAAATATTGAATACATAACCAACTGGTTAAACAATTAATAAGAGGAAATCAGTCACAGTGATTAGAACAGACCAGTCCCTACAAGCAGCACCCGTTCACGAGTATGACGGATGAGCCAGCCATCACTGCGCTCGACCATATTTTAGGGAGCCCAATGACCCGGCCCACCACGCCGCCACAAGTCTGGACATTTTAGTGAGCATGACTACTCAAAACACTAGACCACGTCAAAGCTACTCACAATTGCCATCTGATAGTTATAGTATTCACATTTTACATAAGAATGCATGCGGCAATTAATACAAAAACCGCTACGCTTTCATATTTCTAAAATCAATCAATTAAATCAAGAAAGCAATGAGAAAATAAAATTATAACGTTGTATGCTAATAAACTAATTATTTACTTGATATGTTGTCATCTATGAATTCGTCTATCCTGTAATAGGCTTTCTTACATAAAATTACAGGTAACTATCATATGGGTCGTATACTTGTTTGCCAACGTCGTAGTATAAAAAAATGAGTGTTATCAGAAGCGTCAAATAATTACGTGATGTCCATGTTCTCGTGTATATAGGTGTCAGTTATCACTTACCATCGTGTACATAAAAAACATTCTAGGAACTGTGACTCACAGTGGTACTGGTGGTGAAATAGATTACAAAGTTCCGCCAATTAAATTGCATAGTCTCATGTATGCCTGTTGAAAATCGTGTATTTTTGAGGGAAAACTATTTTTGAGAGCTAGTCATTTTTACACATACTTCTGCCATCAAACACCCTGCCTTGTAAGCAGTGTTTTGGTTTGGAAGGTGAGACATACAAATGAAATTACAAGGTAAGGATGACTGACACATTAGTCCCCTTGAATCCCCCGTCCCTGTTGTGTTATCCCCACGCATTGTCAGCATAAGTGGTCGGGTCAACAGGCGACACATGACAGCGTGATGTCTGTGGTAGAGCTATTAATGGCAATAGTTGTCAGTGAGGTGAGATATAAAAGTAAAATTATAAGGTAAGGATGACTGACACATTAGTTCCCTTGAATCTCCTTGATGTCTTATCCCCACGCGTTGTCAGCATGTGATCGGTCCCAGAGGTGACACATGACAGCGAGATATTTATAGTAGAGTTGTTAATGACAATGGTTGTCACAGTGGTGAGATATAAAACTGAAATTATAAGGTAAGGATGACTGACACATTAGTTCCCTTAATCTCCTTGATGTCTTATCCCCACGCGTTGTCAGCATGAGCAATACTATAGCCGACACATGACAGCGTGATGTCTATAGTAGATTTGTTAATGGTAATGGTTGTCAGTGAGAAAGATATAAAAGTGAAATTATAAGGTAAGGACGACTGACACATTAGTCCCTTGAATCCCCTGATGTTTAATCCCCATGCATTGCGGCATGTGATAACAGGCAACAGATGACAGCGTGATGTCTGTGGTGGTACTGTTCTTGGCAATGGTTGCCAGTGTCCATCAGGTAGGTCGTATACATGTTTGTTATTCATGTATAAAAGAAAGATTATTTAGTAGACGGAAATACCGTACGGTACATTACAAAATCGTACATTCACTCTCATTACATTTCTTCTAAAGTAATAACATAAGTTCAACACACCTTATATTTTACCGTTGATCCAGACAACAAAAAAAGGAAAAACACAGAGCATCAGATGTAGCAGAAGGCTTTAATATGTTCAACTTTGTAGCCCTCGGCATATAGACGGATGGACAGACAAAAAACAAACAATTACTGTAATTATTATAAGCGGAGGGCGCATGCGCAAGTGGTCAGTCCACCATAGGCATCCGTGCATCGCGCAACCCGCGCATTGTTCTATATTCAAAAATTTAAACACCAGTCTTTTGTCATTTTACTTTTTTTGTGTTAATATCATAAACTATATAGAATGTAATTTTAGTACGTTTTCGATTATCAATTTTTTCTTAATAAAACTGGTTTGATAACAGTGCTTTATTTTTAGCAAATGATGGACTATAATTTATAGCATTGTTTCAATAGAATTTGTTCGTTATGGAAAAACAATGTGCTTTGGTAAGTGTGTGTATATTTGTTTTTATATATTTATTAAATTACAAATTTCAGTACATTGTCAATATTTATTGCTATTCAAAGTTCATAATTGTTTAAGATTATCACGATACTGAGGTAGACTGTATAACATAGTCTGCGTGAGTACCTTCGTCTATACTACTACCTATTTTACCTTGTAAGCTGTGCTTCGGTTGAAGTGTGAAATAGATCAATATTAGATGATAAGAGGTATGATAATTAGTCCTCCAGAATGATACACCAAGAGTGGTATACAGGCGTCACATGATAACGTGATGTCCATAGTGCTGTTCATCTTACTAATACTCGTACTATAAACGCGGAAGTTAGTGTTTGGATGGATGAATTGTTACTTTTTCACATAATTTCAATAATATAGCTTATACATCAGAATAAAACAGGCTATAAAGATCATGCAAGTGAAGCAGCGGGCACGGCTAGTGTATAATATATAGAGGATGGTTATCACTTACCATCAGATTGGTCCTCAGCTAGTGTGCCAATCTAATTTAAAATAAAAACAATATGGAAGATGTTTCTGTAAGGTATGGATGAATTTTGGGTTTACAGATATCCACTACATCTAATAAAGGAAATACAAAGCTAAAGGAAAGGCATGTTTTATTAATGATATTGAATAGTTTCATAAAAAACGTGAAGAAAATCTGCTAATAAATATAGGACGTCCTCGGAGGTCGATCGGTTCAACACATCGCCTTACTTTCGGTAGACGCAGGTTTGATTCCTACGCACAGTACAAACATTTGTATACAGAGTACGTGTTTGTATTGGTTTGCATGTTTTCTATGTGTATAATATGTATGGATTTACAAAAAAAATTTTGTATTTCTATCCGTTATCCAATACCCATAACGCAAGCTCTGCTTAACTTGGAACTAGATGGCGTCAACTGTTATAATTATTATTCAAAAAGTATACCTTAATAGGTATTTTTGAATTCAGGTAGACAGATCTAATTGATCATTAATGGTAACTCACTTTGTGTTTCCATTTTAATAACAAAAATAATCTACATATGTAATTGACAATAAAAATTGCACGTTTCTAATGTTTATTAATAAATGTGGGACTCATAGAGCAATAAAATTTATTTTTAAACCTGCCACGTACGACCTGTTAATGGCAATATTCCCATAATCTTTCATCTATTGTTTATGGTTGCGCAATTATAAAGTGATTATAAGTAACGGATGTATGTACATTAGTTAACATAAACAATATAAATATATTGCATGCATTCGTAGCTAAACTATCCAATTTACATAATTGTGAACAAACTTGTGTATTTGACTTTACCAGCGTAGTAGGGTGAATTAATTTAAATTGTGAATTATTTTACAGATAAAAACGTTATTCAAAAATCATTTATTCGTGTCGGACACTTTAACCGCTTATGAACGTCAAATTTTTAATATTATAATTTTTTCCCTACCGTCCAGTTCAGTATATAGATCCAATTGACAAGAACTGGCAAGAAACTCAATTGAATTAAACTATTTATGAAGTAGTGCCTTTTTTTGTAATGGATAGTCTAACTCCTATGAAAATATAAAAGTAAAAATAACAATTTAAAATTGTCTTATTTAATAAGACAATTTTAAATACGTATCTTTCTTTACTTCGAAACTTCTGGGTTTTGGTCGAAGAAGAGAACAAGCTTCTTAGATTTCTTTAAATTCACCGTGCGAGAGACAGGTCAATCATTTGGTAGAGATCCCTCTCTGCCAAATGGTTGACCCGTCTCTCAGAGCAGTTCCTGAGACTTGTGACGCGAGTGTATGTTTATGGGGCTCTTTGCCGACGTATAGCCACACTCACCTACATCACTCTTGTTTCTCTCCTTGCCCAGAAAAGTCTGGTGGGGGCCTGCTAGTGCACCTTTAGATACACGTCTTTAGTATGAAATTTCTAACTTAAAAAAAAATATTCGCATAGGATCTCTTGTGCATGTCATAATTTTTTAAGATTATCCCTACCGTCCAGTTCTGCTGAAAAAGCTTTCTGTGTATGAAATCTAAAGTCGAAATAATTTATTCTTATCGAATATTTTAAGGACGTAACAGAACGCACGTATGCACGTACATTTTTATAAGTATTTTTACTCAAGTTATTAACTGAGCGTTACTTTTTTACAAAAATTTATGAATTTAAACGATCTGATATATTTGGAACTTTTTTCATCGGTTTAAAAAAGTATATCATTATATTAACACGTAAAGTAAAAACTTAACACCCCTTTTGAGGAGTATGAAATTTCGCATATAATTTATATAAAGAAGGAATGCAGAATCATAATACATTTTTTTTTAATTTTTAATTAGGTATACGTAAAAAATACATAAAAACAATAAAAAACAACATACACATGTATTCACCACATACACTGTGCGTGTATGTGGTGTATACATGTATGTTGTCTTTGACAATAGAACCTTAATAATGTTCAAACTTATAATTTACTTTAATTATGGTCGAATTTCGACCACTGTGCGACCACTAGTATTCATAAAACTGACTGCACCTAATTCGATCAATCACATTTGAACATTGTTAAAGAATCCGTCAATAGCTGAAACAAAAATAGAATTCGCTGGCGAATTGGTCACGAAGGGCTATGTAAACTGAGTTTATTTTGTAATGGGTCGGGTTAATGTGCCCCTTAATACGGTTGAGTGCAATGATGGTTGACTCGTCTGTCATACTAGTGAACGGGTACTATTTGTGGAGACTGGTCTCTTGCGGTTACGGACACTCATTAAATATTTCCTTTTGATAATAATGCAATAATATATGCTAGTGGTCATTTCATTCGCCCTAAATCAGGGGGCATTAAAAATGAATCTGTATTTTTGTAATCATGTACAAATTCATTTGAAATGAATAATTGCCGAGTTTTCTGTTAGTTCTTCTTGGTTCGAAAGCAACCTGAACTGACGGTAGATTTGACATATCATAAGAGTCTGTAATAGACCTACATGAATAAGAAAGAAATAGAAATAGAAATAACCTTTATTCAAATAAACTTAATATAAGCACTTTTGAAGTCAAGTTTTTTTCTACCGCTCATTCGGAATGCAGACTCATCACGAAGAATGAGCAAGAAACTTGTGTGTTGCTCTAAGAAAAAGATAAATCAATTGTGATTGTCACTGATGGCCTTTCATCCTCCAATGATGATTGGCTAGAGTATATTATACAGCCCCTTAACACAGGCAGTTGTTTTTTTCTGCCATATTGCTGTTGTCCGCAGCTGGCTTTGACAGCTTCACCAGACGATAGTAGGCGAGTGCAGTGGTACTCCACACCTACAGAAGGAATTATGGAACGGCTGAAAGCCAGCTCCAGCGTGACGGATACGACTTGAGTCTGAGTGCACCGTAAGGGTTCGAACCTCGGCTCAGGCCGTCGTAATTTCGATGTCCGTTTGGATTGGACGGACGATCGAGCTGTACCATTCCAGTGTCATGCTTCAAAAATACCTAAATATGCGGCAAGGAAGTATAATGAAAAGATCCATGACCGTATTCATTTCCTGGTTTTTTCATTTCATACATTAATGATAATATTATAAACAATATAAACGTCATCAAATTAACATATCACATGCATGTAAATCCAAAATCTAATACTATCACGACCTCTAAATACAATGGGATGACGTCACAGCTGGTAGAACAAAACGAGGAGCAAAATTCGTCTGATGTGAAGGCTACAGAGGTCTAATTACTATTGTATTAGTACTACAGGAAGGTAATCATTTTATGGGGCACCCCAATTATGTGTACTTGATCTCTTGTTACAGTCAAGTTCAGTAATGTCACTATTGTTTTTTATATTATATTAGGTACATCAAAGCTTGGTAGATTATAATAATTATAGTAGCAGATTTATACCAAATTTATAAAAACTGTATGAATAATAACATGACGCGCACAATTTTGTAGCATCCCGAATTTATTTTAACTAGTAATCGAAATTCGAGCATAGTTCATTTAAATTATAAGTTTTTATAAGAGTAATATTACGGTTCTACTGCTAACTATAGAGAAATAATATTAAAGCCAAACAATAATAATCTATTCTTAATTTGACCACAGACAAAAAATAAACAAAAGAATATATGTGTCAAATACTTGGTAGTCTGTGTTGTTGTATTTTTTTATTATTTTATTATTTTTTCCCTATATAATCTATAAGTGAAGGAAATTTCATATTCCTTTATCAACGATAACTGTAACGTTTTTTATTCACGTATTAGTATAGTGATAATATATAAAAACTCAAAGCTCTGTCAAGATAGTGACGGGCCACTAATAATAAAAAAAAAATTATGTATATTAAAATATTTTCAATAATAAATTATCAAGCTCTTATAAACAATATCGCGAACTCTTACTTCAATTAATCTTATTTATATAATTCTCGTGTCACAATGTTAGTTACTATTCGTCTCAGAAACGGTTTGACCTGAGAATATCTGAGAATCGGCTACTATCTATTTTTCACACCCCTAAGTGATAAGGATTGTCCAAACCTAATTTTTTGTTTTTTTTTGATGAGAGAAAATTATAACACCCATAATTTTCACCCTTCTATCACCAACCCCTATTTATTAATAGCGATTTTAATTTATATGGCAACAACGTTTGGGGGTCAGCTAGTATATAATTATATATATAATTTACAAATAAGCAGGCGAGTTTTACTATATACTATAATATAACCTATGGTTGACTGATAGAAAATGCCGCATGGTGTTAAGTCTGCCAAATGTACTTTACTATATTTTGTATACTGTGTGCATTAAAGTTAAATAACAAAATAAAATAAGACAAGACCCAAGCGAGCAAGGGAAGGAGTAAAATTAAAAAAAGTATTGTATTAAAGTATTGTCATTAACGATGCATAACAATGTCGCGAACTCTTACTTCAATTAATAACTATATACGTTCTTATAATGTCCATGACCAACTTGCTCATTCATTCTTCCTACACCTTACTCAGTACAGATTTGTGAGTACACAGTTCTCAATGGCCCCATAAATTACTTTCAGCACGTCAGTTCATTTTTAAAGAACAATACAGAGGTACATATATTGGGTGTGAACTGTGGAATTAGATCTAAAACGATAACAATGTAAATCTTAAAAAAAAACTATGAAAATGATAAAATATATAACGACTACTAAGAGAATGACATGAAAATTCCCAGAAAAAAAACGAATATAGCCATAATTCTTCAATTTTTGGTACTAATATTATAAAGCTGAAGAGTTTGTATATATACAAACTCTTGACAAAAGATTGACGAATTATGGCTATATTTGTTTTTTTTTCTGTGAATTTTCATGTCATTCTCTTGGTAGTCGTTATATATTTTATCATTTTCATAGTTTTTTTTTTAAGATTTACATTGTTATCGTTTTAGATCTAATTCCATAGTTCACACTGTCTGAGCCTGTTGCTGTTTTAAATAAATCCACATTAATAAGGATTAGGCACGCGACAATCAACATGGAAACCGCTACACTATTCTTTGTCCAGTTAGATAATATTGTCTGTACTATGAATATTAACTTTCAAGGTAATGATAATAATAAAACAATACGGAGGTACATGGACTGGGTGTGAACCATAGGACTAGATCAAAAACATAAACTTAAAAACACATATATCTTAAAAACTTGCTATTTGAAAATGATAAAAAAATGTATACAGAAATGACACGTACTAAGAGAATGACAAGAATAAATTACAGAAAAAACGAATGGTAGAAATTAACCACAGTTCGTCAGTCATTTATTTCTCTATTACCACAGTGTTTGTCTCTATTACCAATGGGTAATTAATTTATACATATAAATAAAATTGGAGTGTCTGTTTGTAATATTAAAATAACAGTTTTTTACTACATGCATGTGAATATAAATACGGAACATATACCAAAATAACATTTTTTACAAAGCTGTTTGTTCCGGCTAATATCTGAAATTTCACGAAAAAATCACGGACCGATTTTGAAGGGACTTTTTTTGGCAGGTAGCTGATGTAATAAGGTGTAATTTAGACTACTTTTATTTTAGAAAAATAATTATATTCCCACGCGGACGAAGTCGCGAGTACAGCTAGTTTTTTATAAAACAATACAAAATTCACGCTACAATTGTAGGAGTCCAAGTATGTTTATTTATTTATCTGGAAATAAATTATCACATGCAATTTCCCATCGTCATATTAGACAGGCCGCTCGCTAACACGGAAACTGCAAAAATAGAAACATCAAGTTATTAATTATGTAAAAAAAACATAATTAAACACGAGTCAAACTCGTTTACATCATTAATTACTTCATTTGTTCATATCTTTTTATAAACGTTACGTAGTCAATTATTTACATGTGTAATAATTATAATACAAATGTAAATTCGTTAAGATATTCTAGCAAAAGTACAATACAATAACAATAGCTGCGGAAATATAGTTACAAAAAAGTCATTTGAACTCAAACCAAAGAATTTATAATTTGCTAGCGACTTGCCAGTGCTTCGCAATTACTGTATTACAAATTTTAGAATTTCTTGCCTTTGCTATGTAATATTATGTTATCTGTGCCTCTGCTATACATACTATGTACGGATTATGCATATTCAAGAGGAAGGTTTCCTCTGGACATATGTCCATCTTCATATTAAATCCTAAACTAAAAAGATGGCTATTGAAAAAAAAATAAGAGAGTGAGAGAGTGGTTAATAAGTAACAATAGATCCATATTATAGGGCTTGTAGTTCAATTGTGATTAAAATAATAAAGTAGTTAAACAAATATGTACATTGGTATTCACCAATATAAAACCTCTGTATCTTCTATTACATATATAAATAAAATAAAAACAAATTATAAAATCAGCATAATGCTGATGTGTAAATTCGTAACAACCAAATTCAGTGACAATAAAGGACGTTTGTCACAATCCTTTTCACCCACACAATGTGTCACAAGCCTTACGAGAGAAGAAACTTGTAACACCAAAGCAGAAACTCTCATTATCATGTAATTCGTTGATACAAATTTATATTCTAAAAAAATTCTTAGTTTCTTGAAAAATACCAGAGTTATTATTTAATGTCTACGCACTTATAATAATAAATAAAATAAAATGTAATAAAAAATACAATAACAAACAAATTCACACCGTACAAAAAAATAACTCGTGCTGATATCACTATCAGCATCAGCAATTCACACATTAAGTTCACTCAAACACCTAATGGTGACATTTATATGAGAAATACGCATGTCTTAAGCACAATTGATAGAATAATGGACAATAATATCAGAAAGACGCGGACAAGGAATGCAGCCTCAGCAAGGGCATGACTGAATATTATTTTTTTAGTCAGGTAAACTCTAGCACGTAGCATAGCATAATTCTTGCTATTTCGTTATTCTAAATAAACAACAGGCAAATATCTTCTTACTACAAAATACTATTAAAAAACAATGAATACAAATGTGCTTAAATTTAAGTTTATTTGAATAAAATAGAAAAAGAAATAATCTTTATTCAAATAAACTTAATATAAGCACTTTTGAATAGTCAAGTTTTTTGATTCTACCGCTCATTCGGAATGCAGACTCATCACAAGACAAATGAGCAAGAAACTTGTGTGTTGCTAAAGATTATTATCAATCTTATTAGTAAAAATTAATATTAATCTATTCTATGTATATTTACTTGTAACTTATAACACAGGAATTGTATTCTTATTATTTCATTGATAAAATAAAAAATTACAACAAGGATATTTTTAATCAGTCCTCTCTATGTATTTGTGGATATTGATCGAAATAGACTCCCTATCTACCTAATATCCTAATCATAATTCCTAGATAAACGTAGATTATTTTTTATTAAAATTATTAATCAATTGATTAACTTCTCTTGTTCCAGATTTTTCTGACAATTTTCCACCTCCAGTCATCGATCAACGCTGCAGAGACAGTTCTATCAGCTGTCTTAACACCTGACGAGAAGCTCCTTAGCCGTCAAAGTCGGAGCTACTACGACCCTCGATACGGCGTAGGCCGACCGTACGATCTCGGTCGTCTTTACGATCCACGACCCTATGACCGATATTACGATAGCGGTCGATTAGACTACGATCGACCACGCTGCGGTCGTTGTGATGATAGATACGATGATAGAGATGATGACAACGATCGGAGACGCGACCGATACGATGATGACCGGCGTGTAAACCACAGGCCGACATACGGTAACCGATATGACAGGAACAAAAGCGATAATGACGACGACAGAAGATACGACACCGATAGAAACAACGGAAACAAAAACGGAACTGACGATGATAACGATTCGGATAAGAAAAGGCCTTATGATGATAAGGATAATAGACCGAGTGGGAGCAAGAGGGGTGATAGGGATAGGAATAGAAATAGATACGATGACAGAGATAGATATAGGCCAGATTATTACGACAGGTTCTTGAGAGATCCCTCAAGAGATAGAGATAGGAATGAGAGACCGTATTATGATGACATATATAGAGAGAGAAGGCCGATATATGAGAGGGATTACGACGGATATGCCAGTAGATATGATGGGTACGCAAACAGATATGATGGTGCTGCTTACCCTAGTTATAGAAGACCAATTTATGAAGGGTATGACAGAGGATACGATGATGGTTATGGAGGTTATGGGCCCAGTGCTGGCCGGGGACCTCACGATAGGTAAGTGAAGCTTCTTTAAAAATCTATAGCTACTAGCATCTTATATTTGTACCATGTATTTATGTTATCTTTTTTTATCTACGAATTCATTAGATTTTTTTGTTTTATAAACAATATTCATTCATTCATTCATTTATGTCACCCGATTTATGAGACAGTCAAGTCCATGTTTAGGTCTTTAATTAAAATATAGTCAGATGTTTAGTCGGAAAAAGGTAACTGATAGTATGTCAACTAATAAATTATTTAATTCCGACTAATTATTAATTAAAATATGAACTTAATAAACAAAAAAAAAAAAAAATTAAAATATTCTTTTCTATTTCTACTAAATATCTACACGATGCCCTTAAATATTTCGTATAAAGCACAGATTTAAATATATTTCTTCATCAAACAATGACTTTCAGAATAACATTAATTTTGTAGTCTGACAAAATCAATATAACTACTTAATTTAATTGTAATATCTCGATCCTGGCTGTCTATAATTTATGGTACACTTAACGTATCATTAGAGTTAACTTAGTAACATATGCTTTCCAATATTTATGGATCTGTTCTAGCTGAGTCCGCGACCTATACCTTTTTTATTTGTAAACCGATTGGAATAAAATAAACCTTACGGTATGTAAATATATTAGTGAAAATCGCACTTAAATTATATAATCCTTTATTAGGAATAGCGGGCGCAATTGCGCAAAAGATGTTAACTACACACATATATAAAGTGTTTGTTTAGTGGTTAATAAAGTTAGGCACTTTATTGTAGTATATAATATAATAATAGTCCGTTTTCTCATGTATCTTATCTATATTTGACGACCTCGGGGGTCTAGCGGTCTAGCACACCGCTTTACGTCCGATGGTCGCGGGTTCGATTCCTCGCACAGCACGAACATTTGTATTCATGATTATGATTGTTTGTATCGATCTGGGTATATTATGTATATATTTATGAAAAAAAATATTTATGTATTTGTATCAGTTATCTAGTACCCATAACACAAAGTCTTAACTTGGGTCTAGATGGCGCTGTGTGAATTGTTCTGAGATTATTATTATTATCTTTCAATCTATCATGTAAAGACAATGATCAGTTATATATAGTTTTATTATACAGTTAGTATAGTTGTTACATTAGTTTTATTATTAATAAATCTATGCAGTATTTTTTGGACTAGAAGCCCCTAATGCGAGGGGTCCTGTACCTACTGTCCAGTCTTGTAAGCATTATCCTACTCCGCTAATGTTTACACTTCACCACCAATGAATGTCATATAGTCGGAACTATAGAACTTAATAATATAATGGTCGATCGACGTTTTATGTAAAGATAAACAAAAAAAATCTGATATTCATTTCGTGTTGTGTTCAGTTATATTTCCGCTTGGTATAAAACGCACTTAGTCATTAGAAGAGAAAAACTAAGTACCTGTCTACCTATGTACTGAAATTAATACTTTTGTTTTTTAGTAATCGATAAATCAATATCCTTGTCAGAAAGTAGTTCACTATTGTCTTTACAGAACCTAATCATAGAGCATAATTTTTTTTTTTTGCATTAGAATTGAGATAAAAGCAAGACTTTATACAACTATGTTTCATTTAGAAATTATTTCAATTACATATTGATACATTATGATTGGTTTATGCAATATATAACGTAGGTATTTCTTATATTGATGAGCTAGGTTTCCGAATGAGCGGTAAATTAAAAAAATGTAATGACTATTCAAAAGTGCTTCAATGTAAGTTTATTTGAATAAATGATTTTCTATTCTATTCTATTGTTATGGCTATAGCTTTTTATAACTCTATAATTATAAATCTCTATAATACTCATTATGTTAAATCTTTCATTTGTATTTACATATGTCCTTTATTATTATCTTGGCCTCTCATCACTTAAAAAGAAACGGTTATAGATTACATTCATACTCCATCATTTCTATTACTACAAGCAATTTAAAAGTGCAGATTTAGGTAGGTAAACAATCAAATATGATTGGCGCAAAGGTATTACAAAAATTGATCGGTTAAACCTTGTTCTGACATGCACAAAAAATTCGGGAAAAAAACGGTTAGTCGCAGTGTTTTGTGGTGATACATATTCTGCAAGTTGGCTGCAACATTAGTACAGAGTAGTCATATACAAAGTTCAACGCCCGTAAAATCGACAATACCTACCGTTACATCTAAATAATGTCGAACATCAATGAACATACGCTTTCACCTAAAATTGTATATCACACGTGCTCAATACTCGGATAATGGTATAACTATTGTAAATTAGATCAACCCAACGGTCATCGGAGATGGCCAATTATTTTCGCGCCATTATTGCACCACACTGACGCCATTGTGGAAATGAATCAGTATATAATAAAAAAATACTCTCTACCTTAAATCTGGTGTGATGTTAGATCGAATAGAATATTAATTTTAGGGAAAAAACTAAATAAGAATTATATAAAAAATACTGTCACCAAATTATAGTGATAACTTGCTCAGTACTATTTACATATACAAACTAAGATATCAGCATGTAAAATATGGCTGAATTCTATTTTCAAAAGTATTAAAGATCTCTACAATAATACCGCTCGTGTGTAAACGGGCCCGGTCCCTAATTTATGGCAAAATTTAAGTATTTGATAATTATATTTCAAATTGCAATAAAACAATCAACAAACAACTTTACAACAATATTTATTCATCAATGTATTATTTAAGTTTCTTATTGTGAATAATATTAAATTATAATTATTATATAGGTACTAGCTTGGTTTCACATGGGTGTCCTTGTATTACATATATGTATAAACCTTCCTCTTGAATCACTATTGCTAAAAATTGTATTTTGTATCTTGCTTAGTAGACTAAATAATAATATTGTACGTTTTACAAAAGAGACATATTTAAAATAATTATTAGGTCTAAAGATACCTATATTCAGACGTAATCGAGAAGTTCTTAAAAATACATTATACGGACAAAGTGTTAACTAACGACCATAGACGAGATTATCTCCATCAAAATAGCAACAATAATTCTATACAATTATCCAATTTGTAATGCAATCTTGACACGTTTAGACACATTACGAGGTATAAAGATACCGCTACTTAAAATACCTTTTGGATTGTTCGGATTAATTCGCGAACCGGTATTTATTTTTTCCGCCATCTTGTTTTCCCGTTGGCTGACCACCGGTTGAGTACCCCTAGGCAAAACGCGGGCACTGAACTTGCTTCCTGGGTGATCGAAATTCAAATAGAGGTCATAGAACTGAAGATAACGTTTTTTCGTTGTTCTAATTTCGATTTAATTAGCGATAAACAAAAACAGTTTTATTTAGATTTGTTGATGTCTAAAAATGAATATTCCATACATCATTTATATTTATTGAATTGACTGATACAAAAATATACATGAAAAATGAATGTCCTAGGCAGAGATTAAATAAATAGCTGTCACTCACGTGATTAATGTATTATTAGGTATTCTAAAAATCTTTACATTTTTCTAATATACATAAATAACTTTTTTATAGGTTACCAGATAAGTCAGACCCACTTAGAGTCTGACTTATATGGTACTTTAAAGAACCAAAGGACTATATTTTTTTTTAATACAGCAGCCTGCTCGGTATTACCGCTTACGCTCTCCTCCGTATTACGCTGTTAGGGCTCCAGTGAGGGATGAGAAGGATAAGCATGATCAGTTCTGTTAGCACATTATGGCGAATTGACTATATATTAATAGTAACGATTTCCAAGGGAACTCGTGGAGGTCGAATGGACATAGTAGGTTGCTAGCAATAGGGTCGCCCCTGGAGTCAGAGTCGTGGCCGAATGCTAATGTGACTTTGGGACTCCGACAATAACGCTCATAGGTACACTGTACGGTCTTATAGTGAATAAGAATCCCACACATCCCCTCGTCACCCCTCTGACGTCAGAAGTTGCCAGAGGGGTAACCGCTGAGCGGTCGTTGAAAGATTATGCTAGACCCATTTTTTATACATGGCAAACAAGCATACGCCCCATCCGATGGTAAACGGTTACCGTAGCCTATGGACACCTGAAAGACCAGAGGTGTCACATGCGCGTTGCCAACCCTTCATATACCCGTCTTGAAAAACTCAATGCTGTAATCTCTTGAGAAAGCGTCGGCAGGTAGTTCATACCACAATCTAATTGTACGCGGGAGAAAGCTCCTCTGAAACCGCACTGTCCCATTACTAATAACCCTTCCATCTTCCATCCTCTACCACTATATTGTAATGACAGTCAGCGTATACCAACTATCAGTTTCAGGCCTTGGGACGAGACGTACCGAGGACAAGCGGGATGGGACGCCGGCGGCAGGGGATACTACTTCGCATCCGGCCGGCCTGACTCCGCTCCCGCTACAGCCTGGGACAGACCAGGATATGCTAGGTACGATTTTCATTTGTCAGTTCTTAAACCAACTTTATTTTTTTCTGTATTATTGCTACCATATATCAAGTGAACCGTCAAGATGATGTACCTGATGTATCTATTACCTATAACACAAGCTCTTCTTACCGTGGGATAATGGCGCTGGGTTAATTATCCAGGATTATTTATTTATTTGTACTTCAGAAGCTAGCGTTATAAATGCATTTCAAAGTAAAGAATAAATATTTTGTAATTTGTGGTGAACTGTGTTGGTGACAATTTTTTAAAATATGACTTTTTTTATAATATTGTCACCAATAAATTTCAAGTTGTATCAGTCGTCTAGTACCTACATACATAACACAAGCTCTGCTTAGCTTGGGACTAGATGGCGTTGTGTGAATTGTCCAGGGTTATTATTATTATTTATTTACAGACCACAAGAAAGCGGTTGGCAGAATGTGGGTTACAATGGAGGTGGATACCGCGACCCACTGGAGTACCGAGGCTCGTTGGGATACGGACTGGATGGCGGCTACCGGCAGGACGTCAGCACCGGATACGGACAGGTCAGCGGCTGGCAAAATGTCGGCGAGAGGAGACCTTATAGGGATCAGAGGTGGGTCTTATATATACATTAATATTAGTTTAAAAAAAATAAAAAAATATTCATGTAGGACATTTTTTAATTTCTTTTTTTTAAAGTTAGTATATTTATACATTGTGAACTTATGTAGGTGTCTATTATATGATAACTTTAAGTGAAAATCTCGTGCATGAAGTACTATTGCACGTTCGTTATTGAAGTAATCGTTTAGTGGTACGTTAGGCTTTGCTCGATAAATCTGACTAAACAGATGTTTTGAATTTAATTATAGGTAATTCCAGTATATCCTTCGGTATCTTATTGTAAATTTTGATGTCCATTAACTTTAAATATTCTTAAGGTATAAAGGCTCAATTAAAAGATTCTTAGGGCTGTGTCTTTTTCAAATGTAACAGGGATTTATCACGATGGTTTCCAGGGAGAACCGGGTGGAGTTGACATTGCTAGCAATAGTGACCCTATTGCTAGTAAACTAGTCCACATTACTAACCACCTACCCTTCACCCTATATGGCACTATTTGTTATCTTATTATGGATGGATGTTTGATACTCTGTCACGCAAAAACTATTGTACGGATATTCATGAAACTATACAGTAATATAGCTTATACATCTGAATAACATATAGGCTTTTTTTTTTATACTACTATGGTGGCAATTAAGCATACGGCCCATCTGATGGTAAATGGTTACCGTAGCCTATGAACGCCTGAAACACCAAGGGTATCACTTGCGCGTTGCCGACCCTTAAGAAACCTTAATATACCCTTCTTGAAAAACCCCATGCTGTAGTCTCGTGGGAAAACCTCGGCAGGAAGTTCATTCCACAATTCAAGTGTACGCGTGAGGAAACTCCTCTGAAACCGCACTGTTCGGGACCACTTAGGTTACAATTTAGAAAGATATTATGTAAATTGGGCGAAATATAATGACAAATACCAAGTGTGATGCAAACGAAGTTCCGCGGGTCAACTTGTATGTAATATATACAAAATATATAACGGCGGTTTCGGTAGATCTCTGAGGCCAATTAAAGAATACGTAATCATAATATTTTAGACCTCTGGAACAGATAGCAGGTCACGTGCTGACGTAATCTGCACGTAGTGGTGTATATATGCCACGAATGTCGCTTACCATCAGATGATCAAATCAAATCATTTATTCAAATCAAATCAAAATCGGAGGGCTTTTTCGGTTAGACTTCCTACTTACCATTCTACTAATCAAGAAAGTCGGCTGTTTTGATTAATACCAAAAAAAGTGTTGCCGATTCTTTGTACCAATTAATACATGTTTATTTTTGTAACTAAAAGGAAAATAAGTAATCGCTTACAGAAATAAAATTAAGCATGATCAATTCATTAGCAATGTTACATGTTAGTGGCTTAGTATAGTATATATTAATGGTTTTATATATTGTTAACACAAAATGCAATGTTTATTTCAGTGGCGTGGCGCATCTTGATGACCGCAACACCTACCCGTCCCGGGATACCCAAAGTTCTGGATACGGTCAACGCGATACCCAAAGTTCTGGGTACGGTCAACGCGATACCCAAAACACTGGTTACGGTCAAACCAACAGGCAACCAAGCAATTATGGACAACAAAACACATATCAATCCAGCAATATAGCAACTGGTTATGGACAAAGCAGCAGTACTACACCAAGCACTAGTTACCTATTCCAAAGAGAAGACGAAAGGGTGACTACGAAATCAGCTGATGAAACCACCAAAGCGCCATCTTAGTTTGTTATTTTTCTGTAGACTATGATTTTATGGTCATTATTTTTTTCTTTAATTTTTTAAACTAAAGGCTCAGTAGCCAAAGTCTTTAAAAAAATAAAAATAAAAGGTCTATGTTCATATTTTGAATATTTTTTTAATGCTTCGTAAAACCTCGTTTCCATTAAAATAAATACAGGCCCGTGTTAGTTAAAAAAATCCTTGTATGACACTGTATATCCATGTATGTATGTTGCCTAGATTAGTTTAGAATCGGCAACGGTTACGTGACACCCCTGGTGTTACAGGCGTCCATAAGCTACGGTATTACTATCAGTTGGGCAATATGCTTGTTTGCCATCATCATAGTATAATAAAAAAAAAGTTTTGCATCACAAGAGACAGTTCTTAAAATGCAGTGTTCATGACATCTATTTTAGTATGAATATTATAGTAAGATTTTCGCATTTAAGTATTAACAATTAGAATGGCCAACAAGCTGATGGAGTACCTGGTGTTGGGACGTAACTATCGCCTATAGGCGTGAACAGCACTATGGTCATCACATCATCCGTGACATTAAGGCGTTGTCATTCTAGAGGAATACGGTGTTTCGCTACCTAATAATTACGTAATTATTAGGTAGAGAGGCCTGACATAGTACTAAATCTGTTTGTATACGTATACAAAAAGATTTTTACGTAATTTATACACACACTATACTAATTATTTTGATGGAAACGCTGTATGACATAAAGAGCTCTGTTTTCGTTCCCGAAAACACTGAAATGTGTTACTTTTATAATTAGAAAATTGTTTTTAAACACCCAGTAGTATTAGATTTACAGTATTACATTGTTAGAGCTATAAGAGATTAGAATAATTGAGTAAAAAGTAATAAGAATGTATAATGTTCACTAAATCCGTCCACTTACTTTTACAATGTCGACCTTTGTAGGTAGTATTGCCATAAGGTAAAATATATGTACCATTTGTAAATTATACACAGATATATTTGATCTGTGGTACAGACAAAGTAGGTAGATGTCTATTCATATATTTTTACTATTTTATCTTATATATATTATATAATAAAAAATAAATTGTTGTATAATTTGCACCTACCTTCCTTCCTTAACAATGTAAGTGTAAAATGGTCTAAATTGGACTTGACGCAAGAAGGGCAAAAATTTAGGGTTGTATTAATGGCACATTATAAAAAAAAATAACCGTTCTGTGTATATGCTTCTCAGCTTAATTTAGTTTGTGAAAAACATGGATGATTTCCGTCACTGAACTTATTGGAACATTTAAACTAATGCACAAATATTTGGTGCAGCCTGAAACCAAACTCACTGCATGGGTAATACAAAGGTAGAGTCTACAAAAGAGTACCGACAAGAATTAGAAGAATTACCGCTAAAAAGATTCCATTTATCGTATCTCCTCAGTTTCAAGACACTCTCCTTAATGTGAAGCCCAATCTCGAGGTGCTTGGCGTTGATATATCCAGTGATGTTCAGTTTTGCGGTCATTTGGAAGACAAGGCTAAAATAGCCTCAAAAGAGCTTGGTGTGCTCAGTAGAGTGAAACGGTATTTCACGGCGGCCCATCGCTTGCAATTATACAAGGCACAGATCCGGCCGCATATGGAATACTGTTCTCATCTCTGGGCGGGAGCACCACAATACCAGCTACTTCCATTTGACCACATTCAGAACCGAGTAGCCAGAATCATTAGTAATCAACGTCTATGTGACAGACTCGACCCATTGGCTTTGCAGCGAGATATTGCATCTCTGTGCATTTTCTACCACATACATCACGGGGAGTGTTCTGAGGAATTGTTCGGATTAATACCAGCTGCTGAGTTTCACCACCGTACCTACCACCCGCCAGAAACTGAAATACCATCCTGATCATCTGGATGAATGGCGGTCTTCCACATTACAGTTTTCTAGAAACTTTTTGCCAACAACCACATTGTGGAATCACCTTCCAGTAATGGTATTTCCGAACCGATACGATATTGAAACCTTCAAGAAAAGAGCTTATTCCTTTTTAAAAGGCCGACAAAGTACTTGCAATTCCCCTGGTGTTGCGGGTGCTCATGGGCGGCAGTAATCACTTACCATCAGGTGATCCACACGTTCGTTTGTCCCCTGTGTTATAAAAAAAAAAATTAAAATTAAAAAAAATCTAATAAAGAGTTTCGCTATTACTACGTCGTCTTCTATTTCTAGATAAAGGTAGAGGAGAAAGCCCTATGGCATTAAGCTCTCCTACCTAATATAGTACAATAAATAACATGGAATAAAAAAGACAAACATTTAATTCAAGTAAAACATAACATACAAAATTTTATCAAACTGTTTTTGTTATATATTTTTTCTAATCGAATTCAGTTGTCAAAATTCTCTTTTGTAAAACAGAAATTAAATAGTTATTGTCTAACATTATTATCTAAGTAGAGTATGTACAAAGCCATTTTGTGGGCATTTTGCACTATTCGTTGATGGGCGAAGTAAGGCAGTGAAATTACAGAGACAAACATGACATATTGCCGCTGGAGTCACATTGGAATGTCATTATGATCCTGTGACTTCGGCAATAGGCGCTTCGTCGGGATACCTTAGAGTTTTTAGTGGGTAGGAGTCTCAAAATACCTGTTCGCCACCCCCAGGGCTAGCGAGTCGCAATGAGGGATTTTCTCCAAATAGAATAGAATAGAATAGAATAGAAAATCATTTATTCAAATAAACTTACATTGAAGCACTTTTGAATAGTCATTACATTTTTTTTAATCTACCGCTCGTTCGGAAAGCTGTCTCATCACAAGAAGAATGAGCAAGAAACTTGCGTGTTGCTCTTTTAAATAATTTTATTATTACTTTACATTTTTAAGTTTAAGTGTGTGAATACAAACCACCAATTAGCACTAATTCAATTAAATACTCAAAAAGAAAAAATATTGAATACATAACCAACTGGTTAAACAATTAATAAGAGGAAATCAGTCATAGTGATTAGAACAGACCAGTCCCTACAAGCAGCACCCGTTCACGAGTATGACGGATGAGCCAGCCATCACTGCGCTCGACCAAATAAAAAAATAAGTCATGTTAAAGTTGTCACACATTATCATATGTTAAAGTTATATTCGGATTGGTGTTCACGTATGCACGTACAGATTCGACATTAAACATTAATAACCGTCCTTAAATTACTAACAGCGCCATCTCTTATATTTTTGTAGAACTAACAGTATTAAGTACGTCTCTGTAAAGCATAGAGATTAAAGTTTCTATTTTTAATTACACGATTTCGGATTAGATGTCGTTGTTACAAATTATTATAAGGTGTTTGTTTGTAATTTCGAATTAACAGCATTTCACTAAAAAATATTTAGTAAATTTTTGTTTATTTAATAAAATTTACAAATTTCCGAAACGTGTGGACCGATTTTGACGGGACTTTTACTCGCATATAGCTAATGTCATAAGGAGTAACTTTTTTTAGAAAATTTATTTATATACAGCTAGTCATATAAATAAATTGAGAAAATATTTTACAGCATTACAAATTTAGCAGTACCACACATATGTTCTTTTAATGTAACTGACATGGGAAAGAAACTTACGACCCACCTGATGGTAACCGTCCCCTATGCATAGAAATACATAGGGGACGGTTACCATCAGGTCTCATTACCATTTCTGAGGACTGAAGTGTCATGCTCCCTTACTGTGTAATCGCACTGCCATATGACACTAAACCGCTTGGAGTCAGTATACTAGGACTCATAGATTTGTTTTTTTTTTTCGGGGTACTCTAATGCTGTTGGCCGCAGCTGGCCTTTACAGCTTCACCGGACGATAGGGGGCGAGTGGCAGATGGCACTCCAAACCCGCGGAAAGACTTATGGAGCGGCTGAAAGGCAACTCCCGCCTGCCGGATACGACTTTAGTCTGAGGGCACCACTAGGGATTCGAACCACGGCTCAGGCCGTCGTAACATTGATCCCCGTTGAATTGGACGGAGGATCGATCGGAGGGGACATAGATTTCTACGCCGACCACTTTGTACAATGTATACATAATGTTAATAGAATAATCATTGACATCATTGCATATAACATGAGCCAAAACAATCTAACTTCATTACATAGTATAAAACAAAATCGCTGTCTCTGTCTGTCCGTCCCTATGTATGCTTAAATCTTTAAAACTACGCAACGAATTTTGAAGCGATTTTTTTAATAGATAGAGTGATTCAAGAGGAAGGTTTATATGTATAATACATGTACAACCGGGCGAAGCCGGAGCGAGTAGCTAGTTACATAGTATAAAACAAAGTTGCTGACGCTGTCTGTCCGTCCTTATGTTGGCTTAAATCTACACAACGGATTTTGAAGCGGTTTCTTTTAATAGATAGACACTCTATCTTCAAGAGGAAGGTTTATATGTATAATACATGTACCCCGGGTGAAGCCGGGGCGAGTAGCTAGTAATTTATAAATTAGTGGATAAAAGTTTAAATAAGTAATATTTGTGTTTAGAGTAGTTTAGATGTAATATAAATATAAAATATGCAAGTATGTAATTATTTTAGAAGCTAAGACGGAGCAAACATCCTACCTATTGTAATCCTAAGCTCCTAAATAAATAAAGAGAAAAAAAAATTTTTGATGGATGATTAGCCTATGTTCGCCCTGAAAACATTGTCTATTTTCACAATTTGATCCGTCGATTTAGTACAGTAAAAGCAGAAGCATTTTTGAATTTACAAAATTACAATAGTATGGATTTATTCTGAACTGTTCTTACATATTAATAACTATATAGGTACTATATACACTCTGCATATATTTGAGTCGATTCCATACTATTTGTAGCGAGAGAAAGGTATTTTTTTTATACTACTTATCTACAGATAACATAATACTATACACAGGTAATCACAAATTATCAATCGCTAAATACTCACTTTTCCTCGAGCTGCGTTTGATTAAGTATGCAAGCAATAAAGTACTAATAATATATAGGTATCTAATCGTTTGTGAAGGCAAAAATTCGAATATTAAAGCGATCAAGCAATTAATGATATGA